TTTTATATTTGAAAACAACCATGTTAATAAGGAGTAATGTGAATTTCATAAGCATGGCATACCTGGAAAATGACCGAAAAATGATCATTTTCTGCATAAAAAGGTCCCCAAATATTTTTCGCCTCGCTCCGCTCGGCGATACAAGACTTTTGCTTGCACTTTATTTTAGGGCAGCTACGCCCCTGTATGTGTATATATAATGCATGACCTTATTGTAAACTTGTCTTTCGACTAAATATGTTATCCTGTTGAAATAAAGAAAATTATTATTATTATTATTAAATTCTGCTTGCCGAAGTAAATAAGCATAGGGGATATTTCAGTAAGCTATCAAATGTGGCGACGAATAATATTCTGGAGAAGGCATGGGATAGTATCTACACAAAGTTAAATTCTTCAAATACTGATTGAAGGCCATATTTGTTGTTTTAATTTCGACTTAGGACATCGTATCTTTTAGGACTATCCTGCGACCTCATAAGACACCTATATAAATATCCTAATTTTAGGACCAAATTTAGGACATATCTTATCTAAGGAGACTTTCGTTAACCTGACTTAGGACTAAGACGTGTCCTCAACCATCCTAAGACACTTCCTAGTCTTAAGACAGCTTCGTGGACATGGCCCCGGATCATCAAAGTGTATAATATTCGTTCTTGTAAAAAATGAAAATAACACTTTATAAATTGTATGCGTCCAACGTTCAGATGGATTCTTTTCATCAGGAACGCCCAAAGCAAAGTATTTGAAAGTCAAGAATATCTGTACAAATATCGTAACACATGAAGAATTCTTTGATTTTGTCACAAGCTATATTTAATCTACATATGTTTTGTTGGTACATGTACAATAATATATGCGTATATTTACGAGAGAAAGATTAGAGAATAATAGACATATGAGATATACTCATGCAGGCGTTAGTCCGAAAGGTATATCCAATTTATTCCATGATAATATGGTTTATGCAATATAGAAGTCGTGATATTTGAGCAAAATGATATTTTAGATAGAAATGCAGGATATCCACTTACATTTAACGACACCATGGTTTATATAATGATGCATGCGAGTGTAGGAAATATTTATTTTTATTGTACAGATCTCTACGTCACATCAAAAAGTATACGTGTAAAATCCGCTGGTATTACATGCATCACATTTTTTATACCTCATAAAATATCGGTTGTAGAGGCTTGCATTTTCCCACTATATTGAACACGGCGGGGTGTAAGCACGTCGTCAGGTTATTATTACAGAGTGATTGTGTAGTTTATACAGATTATATATATAGGTATGTTCTTTGGAAATTGTAATTCATATGAAAACTTAGTTTATTTATTTCACTCTTTCAAATAATTTTTACTAAAAGGCTTTTTATCCTTTACGTATTGAGTAATTTTACTCATACATATTCACGATGGGTGAAATCAAGGATTTGTATAGTCTTACTATACATATTCACGGTGGGTGAAATAAAGGATTAGTATAGTCTTACTACAGTCTTACTACAAATCCTTGGTGAAGTTGAACTTCTGTTTTGATTGCTTACTAATTACTGTAAATGCGGTTAATATAAAAATAACAAGACATGGTATGATTGCCAATTAGAGCTTTCCACCAGAGATCAAATGACATAGAAGTTAGCAACTATAGGTCACCTTACGGTCTTCAACAATGAGCTACTCGTACATAAACAGAGTTGAGTTTTCTTTTGTACTTGTCGGATAAATTTACCTTGGACACTGAGCTGTGCATAAATACGTATTTGAAGTGTGTTTAAACCCATATATATTGATATTATATTTCAAGATTCGGCTTTATAGTTTTCTTGACAAGATTACGTACTTTACTGACAACGGCTCTGGCCGATGTAGCTTTGTTATTTGTATTTATGCTAAGTTCCATGTAACCATTGAACTCGCTCCATAAGTGAGTTTACTTTTATATACTGTAGTAATAAATAACAAAGAACCTTATAACGTTTCAACTATTTATTTATACACCGTAAGAGACCTTTTTTCAAATTAACCAGATGTTCTTAGAATATTAATAATAGTAGATTGCTCGTGCAATAATATTTTAATTTAGATATATGGTGTCCTATTTGAAAATTCTAGATATCCCACTACCACAATGGCATAAATTGACATTATTTATTGCAATTCCTAAGTAATCAAGGTGCTTGGGAAGACATTCTCAATTTTATTTTTATTTTTATTATCACTCTGTTCATTTAAAATTACAATAAATTAAATTTTGAAAGAATTAAGAGTTTTATAACTTAAACAAATACTTGTGATCGGCAAACAACAAGATTTGCGTTTAAAAGAGGTCGATACATTTTCCCGTGTATTTGTTTGGATCACGAGGTCAAAATCTGAAAGTTGTCAAATTCTATTGGAAATTGAATTGGAAAGAATCTATATTTTCATGTTTCCATAATTTCTATATAAGTCTATTCAGTGCTACATCGTGCTGTTTAAGTCATAATAATACTAATTTGCAAGTTTTAAATGTTTTTTTTTTGTAAAATTTTGCATTCAAGGACGTCGTTAACCAAAATGAATTAATTTCTACCCGAAAGATAAAATTGAGAATGGAAATAGGGAATTTGTCAAAGAGACAACAACCCGAACAAAGAGCAGAAAACAGCCGATGGCCACCAATGGGTCTTCAACACAGCGAGAAAATCCCGCACCGGAGGCGGGCCTCTGCCGGCCCCTATAAATAAAAATGTGTACTAGTTCAGTAAAATAGATGTCACACTAAACTCCAAAATATATAAATTAACTAAAATTAAAAACCATACAAGACTAACAAAGGCCAGAGGCTCTTGACTTGGGACAGGCGCAAAAATGCGGCGGGGTTAAACATGTTTTGTGAGATCTCAACACTCCCCCTATACCTCTTGCTATTGTAGAATAAACAAACACACAGCAATACGCACAGTAAAACTCAGTTTAAATGAAGTCCGAGTCAGACAATATATAGCTTAACTTCCAACAAAACTTTGGTTTGGATAACAATGTCCATCTGATAAATTTTTTTGATAAATCCTCAAAACTTGTCGTAATTGCGGCTATATTCGGGCATATATCATTTGGAGACCTGTTCAGAAATAAACCACCTTAATGTAATAACAATGGGTGGTTATCATACGATTGAAACACCTTTTCGAAATTGTCCTGGTGTGTAATAAATTCAGGGGAAATTTAACTACCTCATTAAAATGTTAACATTTTTGATTCAGCCATGCTGGATCTATGTGATCACTCCGGATTTGGAGATGGTGTAAAATTCTAAGTTGAAGACATATCATGAAATAATGGTGTGTAATTTTAGCAGTTGATAAGAATAATGAAAGTGTTTTATCAGTATCTTATGTTCCTGTAAGCCATTGAATAAAATTTGGTTCAAGATGTGTATTGATATCAGAGTTGATTCCCACACTTTTTGAAATGTTATTATTCCCATTCTTTCATTAGACAACTAAGAGTATTGATACAATACCAGTATGATAGACAACTGTCACTATTTTCAAACAATTACACTCAAAGGTGTAAGTATTAATTGGATTCAACTCCACTCAACTGCAGTTGTAATTGACCACAGTTAATAAATCATGACAATTGATAATCATACTGGTATTGAGTTCAAGAATTTGTGTATTCAATTTATTACACATATAACTGAATATACAAAATCTTGACCTCAATAATGTACCTTTTATTTATTTTTGATCAACACTACATAAAATTATTCTGTTAATTTTGTGTCAAAGCTGACTGATTAATAAGATGTGGGTTTCTTTTCAAAGAAAAGACAAAAAACAAAATATAGTGTATAAAAAATGCAATCAGATTTTATTTCACTTGTAGAATCAGTGTCATAATCATCTGACATAAGTTAATAATTAAGGTCTATTTAAGTTACAGTTATCAGTAATTTGTTGAAACAATAAACACATTTGCATAACTCTTACCTGAGCATTTTCTGCAATAAATTTATTTGTATATTCCCTATTATATTGCTATTTAATATTAATTGGAATTTAATTCAGCATTAGGTTTTTGTACATGTATATTTGAATACAGGAAATGTATTTTTTCCTTGATGGAGAATGAACACCAATTTAGATAAAAAAAAAAATAGTTATTCATTTTTGTTGTTGTTGAGAAAGTGCATTTTTAATGCGTCTTTAGGAAATTATTAAGCCAATTATTATTAATGGCATATAAAAAATATGCTACATGTTTGAAGATTTCCTTTAATATTCCTGTCAAAATCATTGAATTTCAAATGTTTCTAAAAAAGGAAGATGTTAAAAAATCTGACAGTGTCTTCAATTGAAATACCAAAATAATTTGCATCAATATTGCAAAATTCTCCATCTTTGGGCAATAGAATAGAAATTTTACAGTGAGATTATGGAAATGAAAATAACAAAAGAAATATTGAAAGAAGGGTCAGAAAAAATGTCAGACTAGCTACGAAATTGGCTGGATCACAACGTCCATGATGCTTTGATTAAATTACTGTAACAATACGATTATGTTAACTAAATAAAACAGCGTCAGACTTCACAAACAGTAAAACTACAATTCTATGGCATGAGGTTTTAATGGACTTTTATTTTATAATATCTCTATTTCGTAAGGGTAAATAAATACGACGGCAATGATAGATGAAAAGTATTGGTTACGACATCCTTTTATTGGACTGTGGTATAACCTATATAGCGTGTGTACATGCAAACTTAAGATTTCCTGAAGAATTTCATATTCTGTTTAAATTATCCATGACATTTGATTTTGACCCTATAAATTTAACAATCATTACGTTTCTATACATTTGTTCGGTTTATTTTATCAAAGTGTAAGTTGATACCGTTTCTCTGCAAGTAATACGATAATGGCAAGTACAATGGCAAGACGATTTTCACGAAGCGTATAGTAAGGATATAATTTTGAGTGTAGGAAAATATCTTTTTTCAGACTGAGTGAAGAAAAAGATGATACGACTTGGTAAAAGACATCGATTTATAGTTGTAATGACGGGATTTATCATAATTTTTCTGAAAGTTTTAACACTGACCAAAAATCCAGGTATGTTAGAATTATATTTTATAAATTTAACCGACACCAAACATATTTACTTATACTGAAATGTTCTTCTTAACCCGACAGAAGAGCTAACAAACTTGGGATGGTCATATGTAAGTCCGCATATATCGTTAGAAACTGTTTGATCACCCTTCTCTATTTATTGGTAAAAATGATCAAGGAAATATAAACTTTTATAGTACTATCCCCCTATCTGTGGCCCCTGTTATAAACCATGCTGCATGTATGAAGCCCGCCTTCGGGTGTGGGATTTTCTCGATGTGTTGAAGACCGCTTGGTGGCCTTCGGCTGTTTTTTGCTCTTTGATCGGGTTGTTGTCTGTTTGACACACTCCCCGTTTCCATTCTAAATTTTATTAAAACATATTGTTCACTCGTAGTGTCACTGTTTACTTCCTATTTTATATATTGATCAAAATAAAAACTCATCATAAAACACGGAATGTTTAAATTCCTATAACACATGCCATGACTTCACATTTTGTTTCCGTTTTTATGCTGATATTATTTTAGCAGAAATCCAGACTTGTTTTCGGGATGTTCGGCTTAATGCTTTTCAACTTCGTATTTGGTGCTTCGCAGGCCGTGTGGTGTAATAAGTTTATCTACTGTATCACTAGCCTGTCAACACTGAGGTTGTGAATTCGAACCCAGCCTTGGTGGCCGAGTGGTCTAAATAGTTTATCTACTGTATCACTAGCCTGTCAACACTGAGGTTGTGAGTTTAAACCCTGCCTCGGTGGCCGAGTGGTCTAAATAGTTTATCTACTGTATCACTAGCCTGTCAACACTGAGGTTGTGAGTTTGAACCCAACCTCCGTGGACGAGTAGTCTAAGTAATGTATCTACTGTATCACTAGCCTGTCAACACTGAGGTTGTGAGTTTGAACCCAGCCTCCGTGGACGAGTAGTCTAAATAATTTATCTACTGTATCACTAGCCTGTCAACACTGAGGTTGTGAGTTTGAACCCAGCCTCCATGGACGAGTAGTCTAAATAATGTATCTACTGTATCACTAGCCTGTCAACACTGAGGTTGTGAGTTTGAACCCAGCCTCCGTGGACGAGTGGTCTAAGTAGTTTATCTACTGTATCATTAGCCTGTCAACACTGAGGTTGTGAGTTCGAACCCTGCCTCGGTGGCCGAGTGGTCTAAATAGTTTATCTACTGTATCACTAGCCTGTCAACACTGAAGTTGTGAGTTTGAACCCAGCCTTGGTGGCCAAGTGGTCTAAGTAGTTTATCTTCTGTATCATTAGCCTGTCAACACTGAGGTTGTGAGTTCGAACCCTGCCTCGGTGGCCGAGTGGTCTAAATAGTTTATCTACTGTATCACTAGCCTGTCAACACTGAGGTTGTGAGTTTGAACCCAGCCTCTGTGGACGAGTGGTCTAAGTAGTTTATCTACTGTATCACTAGCCTGTCAACACTGAGGTTGTGAGTTTGAACCCAGCCTTGGTGACCGAGTGGTCTAATTAGTTTATCTATACTGTATCACTAGCCTGTCAACACTAAGGATTAGTGACTAACTGGATTCTGTTCGTTCAAAAAATATTTCAAAAATCATACATATGGAAAACACAAAATTTCCTTTATAATAATTTGTCAAAACTGTTATAAAGCAAAGATTGTTAGACCAGTTTCTTCAGAATTGGAATTCGCTTATCCAAAATTCGTCAAATGGTATTAACCACAAAATTTTAAAGAAAAACTGGGAATTTGAGGAATATTTTAATATTTTGGAATTTAAAGATTCTATTGTTCTCTGTCGATTTCACACGACTAATAACAAATTGCCAATTGAACAGGAAGGTGGCAAAACGTATCAAGAAAAAAACGTTTTTGCCTCCCATGTAACAATCGACAAATTGGAGACGAATATCATTATATATTCGAATGTATTTTTTTCGATCGTATTAAACCTCATGTTTTGTAAAACGTCATAATACAGTCAAATTCTCTGAACTTCTGTCGAGTACACGAAAACAAGTCCTGAAGAAGCTTTGTTCATTATTTATAAAAGATATTAATACTTGTTTTTGTCCTCCTGGCTAGTGACTTTTGTAACTTCTCTCTCTTGTTTTGTATATATTGTAAATAGTTGTTGTTGTTGTTATCTCTGTACTGATGTTATGCATTGGCTTTATGAGAATAAAGATATGTTAGATACCAAAATCAATCAATCAAAAAACTTGTTTTGATTAGCCTTCCTACTATATTATGATTAAAAAAAGGTAAAATAACAACAAGAATGTGTCCATAGTACACAGACTCCACTTGCACTATCATTTTCTATGTTCACTGGACCGTGAAATTGGGGTCAAAACTGTAATTTTGCATTAAAATTAGAAAGATCATGTGTACTAAGTTTCAAGTTGATTGGACTTCAACTTCATCAAAAACTACCTTGACCAAAGACTTTAACGTGAAGCGGGACGAACGGACGCATAGACCGAAAAACATAATGCCCCTAGGTAGGGCATAAAAATACCGAACAAATCGGAAAGTCCCTTTAAAATGGCAAAATCAAAAGCTCAAACACATCAAACGAATGGAAAACAACTGTTATATTCCTGACTTGGTACAGACATTTCCTTGTGTAGAAAATGGTGGATTAAACCTGGTTTTATAGCTAGCTAAACCTCTCACTTGTATGACAGTCGCATGAATTCCATTATATTGAAAACAATGTGTGAACAAAACAAACAGACATAATAGGTAAAAATGTCAAAAATAGGGGTACAGCAGTCAACATTGTGTTATAATCTTAATCACTATAAAAACAAACAAATATGTCAACAAAGAAAAACAAAATTGAATATAGATAAAGCACATAAGCAAAAATGAAAGACAAGAATACAAAAAATGACCACAGCACAACAACACATTGGCGGGATGCATAAGTACCGAGCCACTGCAGAGTCTTATTTAGACGAAACGTGCGTCTGGGGTAGCAAATTATTTGTATTTTTGATGACTTGTTTTATTCTATAACATATCTGAAATGTCTTTAATAAAAACAAATATATTTTACAAATAGCCAACGCTCAGAAAACTTTTTATTTCTACCAGATAACCAAGAAATTTAATAGAATATATACCTTATAAACATTAAATTACTATAAGTGGTTATTGTAAATGAAACCATCGTGTTTTAATTATTTTAACTGTCATATCAAAACATTAAGGTCTACTACGTTAATTCAAATATAAACCCACTCGTTCAACTATATAAATCCATAATTTAAGTATAATGTTGCGAAGTATGGGGTAAATGTGGTGTCGGGAATTCTGAACTTTTTGGGAAAACTTAAGCGTTACGCTGCAAGAATTGTTACAGGCCTCCCTTATTATTGCAACAATGCAATGTTAAACATTGTATCCTCAAACAGACAGAGAACCGTCATCTAATAGAAAAGAATTGAAATATAGACGGTTCAATATGTTAGTGAGTGCATAACCCTCCTTAGCTGGGACAGTATATGAAGCACGGCTACCCTTAAATATTTTACATTTATTGCAAAATATGTAAACCCGACTATAAATATATCAATCTCCAACAACACATTTAGTCACATAAAGTGACTTTGAAAAGTAGTTATGTGAAGGTGTACTTTCGAATTAAACTATTATCATTTATCATTTGGTCATTGAAAGTTTTAGAACGAGCATACATAGCTTTAATACTACTGTTTCATTTTGAGATCTGTCTCGGTCAGAAATAACATCTTGCAAAAAAAAATCAGAAATCTGTAGGATATATGAATAAAAGGTACAACTAGAATAACCTTGACTTAGATTTATATTAGATATTTACTGCATCTGATCATTGTGTTTGGTTGTTTGTTTATTATTTGCTTCGTTGTTTTGAGAATACGGTACAACAAAAATTAAATCGTACGGAACTATAGCATAACAGTTTCTGACTGTGTGAAAAATCAAACATGCGTATAAATTGAAAATTGTAGGTCATCAACTAGCGGTCATCAAATAAAGTTACCCTGTAGTGTTGCCGATGGGTATTTGTACTAGCGCGTCTTTACCTAATGATGTGTTAATTCAGAGTAGATGAATTTTGTATAAAATTTTCTTTTAGAAAAGCTTTTAATAGACAAATAATAACATTGATATTATGGTGACAAGCGTTCACTTAATAATAACGGCAAACATATATTAACATATGAATGCAATGAATTTTTTAACACAGTAGTTTGTGTATAAAAGCTTATAATTCATACATGATCAAAACCAGATGTTGTTGATATCGATTTGGAAAGATGATTCGACCAGTTGGGATAGTGCGAGTATTCGTTGTCATTTCTGCTATTTCAGCGATTCTGCCGATTCTTCTTATATTAAGGAGACAACCTTGTAAGTTTGATTTTTTACCACATAGTTTTAGGTACACTTAAATACATGTTATATTAGTTTCCCCATTATTAACATCTCATGGTCTACTTTTTTTATATTAGGACGTTTAGCAAGCAAGCTGTTATGTGAAGATGTGAAAATATAATTGACTTTAACATTTTTCATCTTTTGTGGATGGTTGTTTTGTAGTAAATCTTATTCAAAAATCTTTTTAGCAGTACACATGTATATTGATCAATGTAAGTACATGTGTACCTATCACAATGTTGTCGTCCATCTTGGTCAAGCTCACTTAAATTAAATGCCCCGGAATCACGGTGAGCTGTTGTTGCATTTATTGCATTCAGTTGTCGCCATGGTAAGTCATTCGTCGTCTTTTTAAGTTTTCTTCTCTATTTAGTAATGAAAATAAACCATACTTTGTCGCAGTCTTTATTAGAATATCGAATTCTAAAAATACGTCGCTTTTAGTATAAATATAACAGATAGCATAGTGACTACGAGTAAAATGTTTGGAGTTGATCTCATCACTGATGTGGTATGTGTTATTTTATGTTTGTAATTATATTGTCCTCTGGTACACCTGTATGTGTCTGAGGTTATGAATAACATCTTGAAATCTGAACACATATCTTAATTATACTTCATTGTAAATAGGTAACCTTCGTCTATAAGAATACGCCAGTTGTAAGGTTTAGAAATGGTCACTTCGCCTCTAACAATAGTTGGTATCTCAGGACAACATACTTGCTATTACCCTCATAACAAGTCAATAAGTGTATATTATATTTCAACTAACATTGTATGCGATGTATCAGACTAGAAGCAGTAGCACAGTAAGGTTAAATATGACCTTAAACATGTTAAAGAATATATAATGATTTTAATAGAAAACATAAAGGATATGGCGTATCCATCCATGACAAAAAATCAGTAGATGCACAGCAAAAAAACATCATTTTTGTCATTTTTGTTTTCAAGCAGGATTTGTTCCCTACTGAGTAGTTTAATCTGTTGGATGCCTTTTTGGTGGTCAGTTTTACTCCTTACATTCATACTGTAGGAATCCACGTATGACAAGGCAAATATATTTAGTATCCAGTTGTCACAATGATAAGCATTGGCATGTCTCATTTCCAAGGTGATTATTTAACCGTTCACCCCAATAATGGTTCATTTAGTTTTGAAAAAACTGACATGTAAACGTGTTGCCATTTTAATATTTGCATTATACTATCAATATAACATACAAGCAACACATTTCTCAAAAAGGCAATTAAGGGATTAAATCAATTCTTAAATCTTCAATCCATCTAAAATTGATTTTGCCTTTGGGATGTAAACTATAAGATACAGAACCTATTTATGTATTCACAAGACATAAAAAAAATTAGTTACTTATAATATGTAAGATATCAAATTCCTATCGTAATGGATGTAAAAACATATTCAAACCCGTTTTCCCGCGCATTTCCATGGCAACAAATACTGAAAACGCTAGAATAAAGAGAATTGCTATCCAGTTATATAATTTACATTATTTTTCAGTTTTGAATATTTCTCAAAATATTAGAGACGAGATCACTGCAAGACAAGTACTCAGCCTGGTATGGTTAATTGTTTAACTTATAGAAAGTGATACGAAATAAACACCATAACAAATGCATGGTAACTGAAACTGCTTCTGTTTGCTTGAACTGTACCCGAGACAGAGATGCTTCCGAACAAACTTGTATTGGTCGAAACAATTCATGCTTATAGCATGGATCTTGCAAGTTCTAATATTCTACATTCCTACATTTTTTTCATATTTTTTATTACAGTGATTGTGTATTTATAACACAATCTCTACATGCACTATAAAAAACCAAAAGCAAAGGAACGGTGCTTGTATTGCTGTTCTTCATCTCAGAGCCCATGTACTCCGCACAATTCAGAATCGAAAATATATGTTACGCCTCTTATATTGACAAAAACTGCATGATTATATCCATTGTTTATTTACATATAAGAAGATTTTTAAAGGTAATCAAACAAATTTGGCGTGTTATGACGATAGACACCCGAGATAAACACTTTCAGGGTAAAGGACGATTTTGAGAATATTGTATACGTATTTGTTTACATAAATATGTTTTTAAAAAAGAATTATTGTATTACTTTGTTTTAAAAGGTTTCACAAAATCAATTTTAGTAATCTCAAATATACGAGACTAGGATATTTGTTACTAACTTGCGCAACTTTTCGTTGTCTTTGACATATTTTCGTTAACTGGAAGAAACATTGAAGAAAACAATGTCAAAAACACTTCATAAAAGTATCAGGCAAAGTGTGTTACCTGGACTGGACTAGACTGGATTGGACTGGACTATAGACTGGACTATAGACTGGACTGGACTATAGACTGGACTGGACTCTCGCATGTTTATTTTTTTTAATATATCTATTAAGTTACAGATTGTAATGGGCCGTTAAATGGAATAAAAATATTTGTATTTTTATTTTCATGTGAAACAAAGTTCACAATAATAAATTTCAGAAATAAAAAATAAGGTGATAAATGTATTATACACATAACAATGCACACTACAGGATAATTTATCTGTCCTTCTATCTGCTTTATACAATGAAATTGATGCTGACATTCCAATTTGTACCTAAATAGATATAAAACATCTGTTCTAAGGTCGAATGTCATTAATACAACTTCTATTGACAGGCAAGATTATAAATTAAAAATAATTATTGATAAAAAAAAGTATAAAGTACAGCTGTAATAAGCAATAAGATAACATATAATCAAATAAAAAATAAGTGCATGTTATAAAAAAAAAACATGTGAGAGTCCAGTCCAGTCCAGTCCAAGAATCCAGTCCAGTCCAGTCCAGGTAATACACTTTGCCGTCACATTCCTTCTCAATCGATTATTTCTACTAGATATAGGGTCATTTATCAGTTAGAAAAAGTTATGTTAACACATTAAAAACACGTTAATGGCGCTCTCCAGATTAGCAATCTCTGTTCTTGTTTTCATGGTATAAATTTGCAAACGTTGTATTGAAATGTGCATGTATTCGATACATCTTGAGGGCGTTTAGTCCGAATGGGTGTATTTAATTTACATCAAGATTTTATTGTCAATGCAGAATGATAGTTTTCAATAAATTTAGGAGGGGTCTTTCAGCGATTTGACCATATGCTATTGAAAAGCATGATAAATGCAGGGTATCCAATTTCCTATAACGACATCTTGGTGTAAATAAGTACATCTCGTGTTTGTCCTGTAGTTGATAAAAATTAAGTTTTCCTAGATATTAATGTGTTCGATACGAAGCCCTGCCTATATACAAAATTCATCCTATAATTTTTTTTCAAGTCCCGAATATATAGCCAATGTTGATTTTCTTTGCAACATTTTCCTTCTTCTCTTTTGGATTCTCAAAAAAATCTAAAGATCTACTGCCAATTCTCAGATCACAATCTCTGCAATTTTGCAGCAACATTAAGACCTTTGATTTTTCTACGCTTTACACTACTATTCCCAATGCTCAATTGAAAGATCGACTTCACCATTAAACACCATTAAACAAGAAAAAGCACCTTGCAAAGTTCTTTAATTTTACTTTCAGATATATTGATGATGTCCTATCACTGAATAACCCATATTTCAGTCAGTACTTGCATCTCATATATCCCAGTGCACTTGAAATTTAGGATGATACTGATACAAGACGGTCTGCTTCATACCTTGATCTTTTCCTCAATATTGACACAGATGGACGACTTCACACTAAAATCTATGACAAACGGAATGATTTCAACTTCCCAATTATCAATTTCCCATTTCTCGACAGTAACATACCCTCTGCTCCGTCGTATGGTGTGTACATATCTCAATTGATACGTTATGCTCGTGCATGTTCACACTATACTGACTTCATATACAAGCGTGTGCTCCTTACGCAGAAACTGCTCCAACAGAGTTATGAGGAGGAAAGATTAAAAGTGACACTCCGTAAATTTTATGGACACCATCACGAATTGGTTGATCTATACGATGTGTCTGTGTCTAAACTAACTAATGACATTTTTGCCACATCTTAGATTGTGGTTTAACATCTATGTCGTCTGTCTGCTAAGTACCGAACGTGACCTATTCCCGAATATGACTGTTATACCGAGAGTGAATTTACATTGCTATACGACGTGTCGCGGTATTTTGTACATCCAACATTCATGTATTTATTTTTGATGTTTTTGTTATAGTTTCGGTTGAATAATGTGTTATGTCGTATCGTTTGTTGTCCAAATAATTATAAAATTGACTTTCAATACCATCATTGTCATATTCCAGAATATGACTGTTATACTGAATGTGAATTTGCATTGCTGTGCGGCGTGTCTCGGTGTTTTGTACATCCAACATTAATGGATTTATTTTGATGTTTCTGTTATGGTTTCGGTTGGATAATCTGTTATGTCTTATCGTTTGTAGTCCAAATAATTATAAAATTGCCTTTCCATACCGTCATTGTCAGGAAAATTGTTTGGACGAATATTGTGAAAATAATTGTATAAAGTTCGAGATTGCATGTTAGTTACGTAAGCGCGTCACTATTTTTGATATCCTGTGGTGTTTTTCGTGTATGGAATATGTTCGTTGTTGTTCTGTGGTTTGCATGTTGTGTCGACTATTACATTATTTGTTTGTGCGTTTCTCTGTTATAAATGTTCCGAGTTGCGTGTGTTTGTGCTGTATTTCTGTTACGTAGTGTTTTAACGTTATTTTTAAACATTGTCATAAAGCGGGAGGTTTGGCATGCCATGAAACCAGGTTCAACCCACCATTTTTTCTTAAAATGTCCTTTACCAAGTCAGGAATATGGAAGTTGTTATCAAATAGTTCGTTTCTATGTGTGTTGGCGTTTGTTTTTGTTGCACTTCGGTGTTCCTTTTGTTCCTTTGTTTTCCTCTCATAGTTGATGTGTTTCCCTCGGTTTTAGTTTATAACCCGGATTTGTTTTCTCTCAGTCGACTTTTGAACACCGGTATACTACTGTTTCCTTTATTTATCCTGAAAATGTTTTGCCATATTTATAGAGATTTTACATGTTTGTTTCACAGACGAAGAGAATATATTTACTCGTTTTTACATACGCGATTTTTAGTATATGATAAATATCAGATGCATACGACATCGTACCAATATTAGTTGCTTCCTGGCTATGTATGTTATCCTCATAATATTGCAGTGCTCATGGTATTCATATAAATATCAAATACATACAGTATGTCTTCATTTAATACGATCTGATCTGTGTTGTATCATATTATATCAAAACATTTTTTTTTGGGCAGATTGAGCAAACTAATTATAAAAAAATAATTTTTACTATAGGTGAACGTAACCAATAGCTAGTGAGGAAATCAGACTCGATTTTCTTTGTTTTGTTTGTAATCAAATGACAAAGTTTTTTTAGCGTTTTACAGCTTCCATCTACAACAGAAAAATTCAAAGTATTCATTCTCTTTTCTTATTATATATCGTTCCTTCTTTTACAGCCACCATTATCACCAGACTGGAGAAGAAAAGCCATGATGTTCAAGATTGATAATTCGAATCAGCGTAAATATCATTTACAATATTTGTTAACTCTTCTTGTCTTACAACTTGTTTTCATAGTCAAAATGAACGTCCTTCGTATTTGCCTCAAAATCGACTTTGAAACATTTAGATTTTAGTATTAGATGCATGTTTTTTTTATTAGTTGTTATTGGCTTTGAACTAGCTGCCAGTAACTGCGAGTACTCTCAGATCTGTACTTAGAGTCTTTTTGTTGTGGGGATGTACAAGTACCCTGCCACGTCCACTCTGTGTTTTTGTTATATGTATTTCTGTTTGTATCCATCTAATAAGTTAAGCCTTTTTCAACTGATTTTTATAGTTTGTTCTTATATTGTACTGTTACACCACTGTCCCAGGTTAGGGGGAGAGTTGGGCGCCCGCTAACATGTTTAACCCCGCCACATTCTGTATGTGCCTGTCCCAAGTCAGGAGCCTGTAATTCAGTGGTTGTCGTTTGTTTCTGTGTATCATATTTGTTTTTCGTTCATTATTTTGTACATAAATTAGGCCGTTAGTTTTCTCGTTTGAATTGTTTTACATTTGTCATTTCGGGGCCTTTTATAGCTGACTATGCGGTATGGGTTTTACTCATTGTTGAAGGCCGTACGCGTAGGGTGACCTATACTTGTTAATTTCTGTGTCATTGGGTCTCTTGTGGAGAGTTGTCTCATTGGCAATTATACCACATCTTATTGTGATATTTAGCAACAGATGAAAATAAATGATCAATCCGAAAGAAAAAAAATCCTCCTGGCCCCCAGAATATAAAATGGTCGTCCCTTAAGTTTGTCTTAAAAGTAGATCAGGATTGGCAAAAGTCAACATTACTTATATACCGAAGTACATTACAAGAAAAAAAATGATTAAAAAAGTTGGTGTACTGGGTACTTCGGTGTAAAGGTTAATTCAATGTTGACATAAATATAACTATGGAATTTAGAAGAAAAAAATAAAAACCCTGAATTGTAGACCAATATGTAAAAGACGTCAAAATCATGACAATTTTATTAAGATGTAATGCAGCAGTTCTAGATCAATTTTATTTCTATGAATTTACATTAGTAGCTGTTTTATTGCCAGAACGTACGTTTATAAACTGAGATTAAAATATGTTTTACAGGATTTCTGACAATAGGCATTCCTACAGTCCGACGACAACATTCAAACTATTTTTTGGAAACACTGGATTCACTTTTAAACTGCACTTATAAAGAAAATATACCGAACATTTTTATTGTCATCTTTTTAGCAGATTTCAATGCAACATGGAAATATGAAATGGCAAACATAATTGAACAAAGATATTCAAAAATAGTGCTAGATGGAACTTTACAGATAATAGAAGCACCAACAGAGTTTTACCCGTCGTTAGACAATCTGCACCATACATACAACGATAGTATAGCAAAAAGAAAATGGCGGTCAAAACAAAATGTCGACTATGCCTTTTTATGGCTGTATAGCAAAGAGCTATCAAAATATTACATGCAGATGGAAGATGACATTTTTACTGTGCCCGGATATCTAAATGTTATAAAAGAGTTTATTGAAGCACAAAAGACAGACTGGACCTGTTTAGAATTTTCGGAATTAGGCTTCATTGGTAAAGTTTACCATTCAAAATATTTAGAAAAACTTGCTAAAACGGTACTGCTTTTTTATGAAGAACAACCTGTTGACTATACATTTTTATATTTCAACATTTTGAATTTACAAGGAAGCCGCATAATAAGACGCCCGACACTTTTTCAACACGTTGGATTTCATTCTTCATTGCCAGGTAAAATACAACCTTTAAAGGACAAATTTTTCGATGACATTAAAAAGACCTTACATGGGGATAACCCACCTGCTAAAGTTCTTACGACGTTGAAAATTTCACCAGACTTTTTGCCAGATTTAGCATACTCTAAAATCGATGGATACTTTTGGGCTCAATCTGCCCCTGTTGTTGATGACACAGTTCATGTTTTATTTGATGAACCGCAAAATTTAGAAAAAGTTGTCATTTTATCAGGGTCTCAACAACACCCTACAGATAAGATAGAGAATGCTCGATTAGATGCATGTTTAAGCGTAAAGATATCAGGTGACAACCGAATAGAGTGTTTTAACAACATATTTTTGGGTTATTCAGAAAACGGAACTTTATTAGCAGATAATTTAGAAAAGAAATTAGATACATTTATGGTGACTTGTCTGAAAGTAACTTTTACAAAGAGTCAACAATGGTGGTTAATTATAAAAGAAATAGCGGTCTTTGTAAATAAAGCACACAAAATATAAACAGCTATTTTGCAGTGCAATGTAATGAAATCAAAAGTGCAAAGGCAAACGAATTGCACCCTCCAGATTGTAGGATACTAAACGAATCGCATACATGTTAAATCAAGACTCGATAAGAATTTGATACTTCAACTGGGTTAAAATGGTTAGTTTATATTTTTCTACACTATACTGTTAAATATATTAAACAACATGTATGTTATTGGTCGCCATGAGAGTTAATATCTTAAATTACATGTATGTTATTGTACGCCATGAGAGTTGATATCTTAAATTACATGTATGGTATTGTACGCCATGAGAGTTGATATCTTAAACGACATGTATGTTATTGGTCGCCATGAGAGTTAATATCTTAAATTGCATGTATGTTATTGTACGCCATGAGAGTTAATATCTTAAACTACAGGTGTGTTTTTTTAACGCCATGAGAGTTAATATCTTAATCTACATTATTTTATTTTACGTTGTGAGAGTTAATATCTTAATTTACATGTATATGTTATTGTGCGCCATAAGAGTAGTCGAAAGGAGGCTACAATGTACATCATGGCAATCTTTTAGTCGATTCATTATATTTTAAAGCACTCCTAAATGCACAATAGAGGAAAATTGAATTTAAACGCTACCAATTTCATTTACCTTAAAATTGGATTGAAATTTCGAATGCCCTGTCAAAAATGAAAGACTTTCCCAAATTGATTAAGCAATTTTTGTATTGTCATTATTCCAATATTTTGAAATGACAAATGATTTGACTCTCACTACATTGTGAAATAAATAAATAAAAGTATGCGTTATATAAAATAAGAAGATGTGGTATGATTGCCAATGAGACATCTATCCACCAGAGACCAATCACGTAGATGTTAGCAACAAAATGTCACCGTGCGGCCTTCAACCGTGAGGAAAACTCGTACCGCATAGCAAGCTATATATAAAACGGCTCCGATATGAAAAAATGTAAAGCGAGAAAACCAACGGCATGATTTAAGTACAAAATGAAACACAAATTTCAAATATGACAACCAGTAAATTACAGGCTCCGGACTCAAGTCAGGCACATAAAGAATGTGGCGGGGTTAGACATGTTTACGTGCACCAAAACCTCCCATAACCTGCGACATTGGTGTTACAGCACAACATAAGAACAAACTATAAAAATCAGTTGAAAAGGGCTTGATTCATTTATACATTGATACAAAGCACAAAACAACTAACAAAACACTCGAGACACGAAGGTGTGATTAAAATTTGGTACGCAAATTGGCCTCATAGTTTGCAGGAAAATTGGTTTTCGACGTTCCGGAAAGTTTGGTGACGTCTTCTACAAAATTCCACATGCAGAACAAACGTAGGCAGCGATTCAGATAAAAAACAAATACATTTGAAAACGAGAAACATTAACGGTTAGTTGTGCGCAAGTCCTAACTGACTAAAACCAGGTGACAATTTAAACAATATTAAATATTCTGATGACAGCATTAAAACCAAACCTGAATCAACCATGGTCGTGTTTGTCTCATGAAAAGTACGAAAGGAATTGAATGCACAAGACAATTATCTCCTGTGAATAAAAAGACGATTACACATTTTTTTTTTCAAAAGAAAGACGCTTTTACTTGTGTCCTTTATCTAATCACACCTTTGGACAACATTAGATTGGCTCCAATCGTCGGCTGAGATGATACTTCATGAAAGTCTTTGATAACCAAACATGTCTTGGACCGAATAATGAAGAATATGCACATAAAACTCACTTAGTCTATCAGTCGTTTCTAATCATCAGAACTATTCACAAAAAGACAATCTCACGGAATCGTCAAGTCTTTAACTTTGATGAGATTGAAATTAGCAATTAGATAGAAAACTAACTCTTAAAATGAAAAAAGTACATATAACCTGTGTCTTAAACAAATATTTGTAACTAAAAAATTGTATGAACACAAATTACGTTGTACTTTATTGTTGTGTTGTAGTTCAGAGTTATCTCGCATTTGCCACAAATAAGAAACCGGTCTTGAGCTTTATTCGAAGTATTTTCTGCACATGTATTGTCATGGACATCATCTGAAATAAAAGAACACGTTATTATACAGTGCTCACTCTAATTTTTTAAAGTATGTGCATTTATATCTTGTTGAAGTGTAAACTTGTAAAACTATAGTGTTAACGATAATGTGTTTGTCGTATGGTTATTCGTGTCGTTGGGTTGTTATCTCATTGACGTAAACTCTAAATCTCATTTAATTCATATGATAAATAGTCGAGGATAAAAGGGGAATGAAACGAAATATAGAGGATAATACGTGTCAAATAAAATTTTTAATAACAGCTGCTGTACGGACCAACAAGAAAAGATGAACATTTATACACACAGTCGCTATTTAAATTACTGATTGAGTAATGCGAGCTGCCAGTTAACTATTTGTGTTGGTTCTCTAGGCAAATATAACTCCACTTTAGATACTCGCATGAAGTCCCATACACGTGGTTAAAGCCAAACATTTTCACGATTTTTGAAACAACGAGCAGTATGTTTAACTAAAAAAGTTGTAGTATGAATGTCAGACTTAAAATACCTGTATCATAGCAATGACACGGTTTTAGAGATTTTAAAATCAAAATTGTGTATCACCTCGCAAGCTACATTTTTGCGGACTTAGATCTTGAAACACCAGAAAGTCGTCTCAACTTCCTGATTGAATCATATTTGCTATTTTGACGTTTTGGCTGAATTAGTATGGGTTCGCATGACGGGAGATGCATGCATTGCAGGTGACGCTCACCCTGTCGTCGCACCCGGCTTACTCCTTCTAGAATTACTACGATTCCCTCAATTTTGCTTATCTTGACTAGTTATACTAAGAATGGATTTTCGAGTTCTGACCATAGGTATAGTACTGATACCTCTTTCTTACGAAAAGGGTATGCATTATTAATGTGATATATAGACTACACAAGAAACAGTAGTATTGACTGAAAAATGATAATAGTCGAGTCGCAGGCGAGGATATAACCAATGTTGAAGTAAATACTATTGTCCCAATGGAAGTTTATTAATCACAATACCTTCATCATGAGTAACTAAACTGATCCGAGCGGACAATAACATGATACATGTAATTTTCAAATATTGTTTTATTGTTTAGCTGTTTGGTTGTCTCTTGTGGAATCCTTATGTTGCTGGCATCACATATTCGTGTACAACTAGAATTTGAAGCTGCCGAAGCTTTGAGGTTGCGATGTTTAAAAAGATAAGATACAAAGGACGTTATAAAAAACCATTAGTCAAAGACGACAAACAATCGCCATGGCAAGGAAAAATAAATCGATGAAAGATGCACAACACCAATTTTTACCGAAGTTGAGGATGAGTTCAGGGTTTACGGAAGATTTCCTACCATTCTTTAAGTGAAAGCACTATAAATATTGTGGTATTTTGGTTTTCAATCAATATAATATATAATTGTACCAAATAACCAGGGTTACAGCTCTCTAATGCAAGGGTAAGCTGTTCTGCTTATGACCATGTGGTGTTTAAGCTATATCTGTCCTCCTCAAGTTTTGTTCTTGAACGTACCTGATGGAAGCTATTCTGCTTAGGGCCATGTGTTGTTTATGCTATATATCTGTCCTTAAGTTTTGTTCTAGAGCGTACCTGATGGAAACTATTCTGCTTATGGCCATGCGTTATTTATGCTGTATCTATCCTACTTAAGTTGTTTTGTTCTTGAACGTACCTGATGGAAGCTATTCTGCTTAGGGCCATGTGTTGTTTATGCTATACCTGGCCTCCTTTAGTTTTGTTCTAGAGCGTACCTGATGGAAGCTATTCTGCTTAGGGCCATGTGTTGTTTATGCTATATCTGTCCTCCTTAAGGTTTGTTCTAGAGCGTACCCGATGGAAGCTATTCTGCTTATGGCCATGTGTTGTTTATGCTATATCTGTCCTCCTTAAGTTTTGTTCTAGATAGTACCTGATGGAAGCTATTCTGCTTATGGCCATGTGTTGTTTATGCTATATCTGTCCTCCTTAAGTTTTGTTCTAGAGCGTACCTGATGGAAGCTGTACTGCTTATGGCCATGTGTTGTTTATGCTGTATCTGTCCTCCTTTAGTTTTGTTCTAGAGCGTACCTGATGGAAGCTGTTCTGCTTATGGCCATGTGTTGTTGATGCTGTATCTGTCCTCCTTAAGTCTTGTTCTAGAGCGTACTTGATGAAAGCTGTTCTGCTTATTGCCATGTGTTGTTGATGCTATATCTGTCCTCCTTAAGTTTTGTTCTAGAGCGTACCTGATGGAAGCTATTCTGCTTATGGCCATGCGTTATTTATGCTGTATCTATCCTACTTAAGTTGTTTTGTTCTAGAGCGTACCTGATGGAAGCTTTTCTGCTTATGGCCATGTGTTGTTTATGCTGTATCTGTCCTCCTTTAGTTTTGTTCTAGAGCGTACCTAATGGAAGCTATTCTGCTTATGGCCATGACTTATTTATGCTGTATCTATCCTACTTAAGTTGTTTTGTTCTTGAACGTACCTGATGGAAGCTATTCTGCTAAGGGCCATGTGTTGTTTATGCTATACCTGTCCTCTTTAAGTTTTGTTCTAGAGCGTACCTGATGGAAGCTATTCTGCTTATGGCCATGTGTTGTTTATGCTATATCTGTCCTCCTCAAGTTTTGTTCTAGAGAGTACCTGATGGAAGCTGTTCTGCTTAGGGCCATGTGGTTTTTATGCTATATCTGTCCTCCTTAAGTTTTGTTCTAGAGCGTACCCGATGGAAGCTGTTCTGCTTATGGCCATGTGTTGTTTATGCTATATCTGTCCTCCTTTAGTTTTATTCTAGAGCGTACCTGATGGAAGCTGTTCTGCTGATGACCATGTGTTGTTGATGCTGTATCTGTCCTCCTTTAGTTTTGTTTTAGAGCGTACCTGATGGAAGCTATTCTGCCTATGGCCATGCGTTATTTATGCTGTATCTTTCCTACTTAAGTTGTTTTGTTCTTGAACGTACCTGATGGAAGCTATTCTGCTTAGGGCCATGTGTTGTTTATGCTATACCTGTCCTCCTTAAATTTTGTTCTATAGCGTACCTGATGGAAGCTTTTCTGCTTAGGGCCATGTATTGTTTATGCTATATCTGTCCTCCTTAAGGTTTGTTCTAGAGCGTACCTGATGGAATCTGTTCTGCTTATGGCCATGTGTTGTTGATGCTGTATCTGTCCTCCTTAAGTTTTGTTCTAGAGCGTACCTGATGGAAGCTGTACTGCTTATGGCCATGTGTTGTTTATGCTGTATCTGTCCTCCTTTAGTTTTGTTCTAGAGCGTACCTGATGGAAGCTGTTCTGCTGATGGCCATGTGTTGTTGATGCTATATCTGTCCTCCTCTAGTTTTGTTCTAGAGCGGACCTGATGGAAACTGTTCTGCTGATGGCTATGTGTTGTTGATGCTATATCTGTCCTCCTTAAGTCTTGTTCTAGAGCTTACCTGATGAAAGCTGTTCTGCTTATGGCCATGTGTTGTTTATGCTGTATCTGTCCTCCTTTAGTTTTGTTCTAGAGCGTACCTGATGGAAGCTGTTCTGCTTATGGCCATGTGTTGTTGATGCTATATCTGTCTTCCTTTAGTTTTGTTCTAGAGCGTACCTGATGGAAGCTGTTCTGCTGATGACCATGTGTTGTTTATGCTATATCTGTCTTCCTTAAGGTTTGTTCTAGAGCGTACCTGATGGAAGCTGTTCTGCTTATGGCCATGTGTTGTTTATGCTGTATCTATCCTCCTTAAGGTTTGTTCTAGAGCGTACCTGATGGAAGCTATTCTGCTTAGGGTCATGTGTTGTTTATGCTATATCTATCCTCCTTAGTTTTGTTCTAGAGCGTTCCTGATGGAAATTATTCCAGAAACACGTGTCATGCGCGTGGGAATTGGTATCGTACGTTTCCGATATTTAAAGCTCTACAACTTCGTATTTGAGTTGGCCTCCCATATGTGTAAATTCGAGCACCACTGATGAATTTTAGTAGTCGAATCGCGCGTCAGGCGTACAAAATTATAAGCCTGTTTTCTTTGATTAAATTTTACATGGTTTATATTAACAATGAAATAGTACTTTAAAAAGAATACGACGTGTCTCATGTTTTTGTTTTTGTTTTGAAATAGGACAGGTTCATTTCTGAACTGAGTAGTTAGTGTCTTGGACATTCTATTCACTTTACATTGAAACCTCTCCTCTTGACAGAACCCCTTCCATAGTGTACAGTTTTCGCTGTCGCGATATCGATGTTTTCTTTAGTTGAATAGATCAAATGTAGACAATTTCAAGTAGGCAGAACAAAGTCTTCATAGTAGGTATAAAGCAATGGACCAAATTCTTCTATTGAATGTGTTATATTTTAATATAAATCTTCTTCATATATACCATAAACAAGTATGCAAGGCATTTATAGTCAAATTTGTACTTATACATATATATATTATTCCACAGGTTAGGGGAAGGGTGAGAGCTCAAAAACCGCGCCACATTCCTTATCCTTCCCAAAGTTAGGACTTACTATAATTCAGTGGTAGTCATTGATTGTTGTCTGCCATGTACGTTTTTCTTTTACCTGTTTAGCATAAATTGGGCCGTTGATTTTCTCTATTCACATTTTGTCATGTCGGGGCCTTTGAATTTATAGCTTATTATGCTATATGAGTTTTTGTAATCTTTAATGAAGGCCGTACAGTGCCCTATAGTTGTTTAAATTTTCGTCATTTGGTCTTTGGTGGACAGTTGTCTCGCTGGCTATTATTCCACATCTCCTTATTTTCATATACACAACATTCCAGTACATTGCTTTCTAATAGTACCAAACTAAGGTCAGAAACCGAACCTCCAGTTTATTCGCTCTGATGTGACCTGGTACTTTAATCAATCTATCATTTGAAATCTGTCTAAATTCTGTAGACCTTATTCCCAATGATATCATAAATAACTAGTAATTTCTTATGATATAAGTTCTGCTTGTTAAGAATGTGGTACAGCTTAATACGCTCGATACCATCAAAGCAATATATGAATGGTTTAATACTTATGTTAATCTACTGGTC